CATTCTGTGGCATCAGGACTCCTAATTGAATTGCTCACAGAGTGATATCGTGGCAGTAATTGCATTATTTGTATCCTTTTAGTATAATCTTATTGATTTATCCAATAAGAACGGCGTTTTGCTTGAATGAGTTAATTTTGTTTTCGGTTTTCTTTGCCGCATGAAACTCTTAAACAGATCATAGCAGATAGAACCGTTTTTGTAAAGCAATTGTTGATTGTATGAAATAAGTGAATCTTTCTCTTGCAACACCTAATTAGTATGAATTCACATAAAATGTTACAGTTTACTGCCTGATGATGGAATGATATATTATTTCCCTCCGTTAATTTAAGGGGCCATTTGTTTGCACTTTTTTTTTTTTTTTTTTNATAGCAAGCTGCAGCCCATGCGCACTCTGTGAGGCCGTATATTGCGAAAGGGTGTCGACTGGATTAATTTCTTTCTAATGGCGTGTTGTGGGCTGCATGGTGTACGAGTATTAAAGTCGAAAAGGAGATGTTAAGATCGTGGTTGATGGATTTAGAATCATGTTGAGAGCAACACCTATAGCCTGAAGAAAGCAGTTTTCTGGGATGTCGCGCCGTGTATTGTGTTAACCGACGTTTCGGAGGAACGTATCGCCTCCATCTTCAGGGTAGAAGAAAAAAGAAGAAATTCCGCGAGTGAGGTTCCTACAATATCTGCACAGCGCCACATCCCAGAAGACTGCTTTCTTCATAGTCACCGCCGTGAAAACCTCAAATCCTATGGCATGTTTGTTATAAGACAATGGCCCATAATTTCCTCGGAAGTACCAAGGAAATCAGTCGGGGATAGCTCACTCAGTAGTAATGACTGTGGGCTGGATGACCAGGATGTGATTGCTGGCAGGGGTAGAAATCTTTCTTTCCGCCACCTCCCCCAGGCCTGCTGTGGGTCCCATTGTCCCTTCCAGTGGGTCTCGCAGGAGGCGGAGCTACTCACCTCCATACAGAGCCGGCATACCCCGAGCTTTGTCTTCCCTTTTCCTTATCTTCATGGCCTGGCGGTAAGCTCTAAAAAAGAAAACATTTATGATCATGTATAAAATGTAATTTTGGGGCACGCGGTAACTTGGTTGAGGCACTGTGCTACAAACATTTATGGTTAGGTTAGCCATCGCCACAACAAAGTGATTTACAATTTTACAATTGAATATTTATTTCCCTACATGTTTCGGTCTCATAGGACCATCATCAGGTAGTGATATAAGAATATGTCTAGGGTCATTGAGTTGCTAATATGGATCCATATTGGGTGCAGCATGTCATACTCTGTGATAACAGACTTGTACATTCAGTTAAATATAAGTATTGAAAATAAGTATATAAAACATAAGATATACCTAGGATATATTAAAAATATATTATACAAGTTTATTGACTTTGTATTAAAGGTATTAAAAGTATTGAAAGATGTATTGAAATTATTTAAAATTATTAAAAATGATATATACCAATTACAAATATAAATCACTCCGTCCATTGTGACCTGTAAATTTTTTACTACATGAAAACTTAACACTCTTACATGTTTCGGTCTCTGTGGACCATCTTCAGANGGTATACATCAAAGATGTATACCAAGTTTCGAAGTTGTAGTGCCCAATGCAGTGTTAAGCTACATCTTTATACATATATATATATATATATAGTACGTGAAACCATGCTACAGTCGGAAGGTCGCGGGTTCGATTGTCGATGAGGCCATTGGAATGTTATTGACCTCAGCCTTCCAGCCGCACTATGGCCCAGGGGTCGACTCAGCCTCCAACAGAAATTAGTACCAGGGATCCTCCTGGGGTAAAGGGCTTCCGGCTGGCGCGTAAAGTTGATAACCTTACCGCCATCTGCGAGCTGATTGTCTAGAAAGTGTGAGAACTTCGAAGTCTCGCAACCCTGTGGGCCTTCACGGCCTGTTAAATGGATAGCTTTACTTCGCATTATAAAATTTAATTTTACTTGAATATCCCTACGCACTTATTGATATGTTGATTCATGTAAGAGGAAGCTACGTTTAGTTGTTATTAAGAATAACAGACTTCGGTAATCTTCGCCTGCTAGGAAGACTATTGTTGGTCGCTCGGTAATCTTCACTTGATGAATGAATACCTTATCGAATATGCAATTTAGGAAACGTACGTTACCGTAATAATACTTGTTTAATTATGTAAACAAACGGAAATACTTATGTATTTCGCGTAATGTATTACGCGTAAATATGTTTTATCTCAGTTGCAAACATGTTTCTCTCAGATAAACATTAGAAGTGTTTTGCTCGAGATATGCGGGAGCCGGGATAGCGTAGTCGGTATAGCGACTGGCTACGGACTGCACGACCTAGGAGGTGGGGTTGGAGTCCCGGTAGGGGCAAGAATTTTCTCTTCTCCACGTCGTACAGAGAGGTTTTGAGGCCCACCCAGCCTCATCCAATGGGTACCGGGGGCTCTTTCCCCGGGGGTAAAGTAGTCGGAGCGTGAAGCAGTCCACTCACCTCAAACTAGTGTTGAGGTTAAGAAGACGTGGATATACATTCATTCCCTCATACGCCTTCATGGCGTGGTGTACAGGGACAGCTTTACCTTTATGCTCGAGATATGTGCAGAAACACATGGAAGTCTTCATGAAAATTACCTCATTTTTTCCCTCATATTTTAACAAGAATTGGAACACGTGGAAAAGTTTCAGTAAACTCCGCAGTATAAAATTGCATGAAGAAATGTTCTGCGATTTACAACTAATTTCATGAATACAGACGGACGGACGGGGATTTTAACAGCCAGTCCGCAAGGTTGATAACGCTCATGAGAAGCTATAGTAGTCAAAAGTTTATGGATCTCAAACATAAATAGTTTTCTTTTTCGGGATAGCGACTAGCTACGGGCTGGACAACCGAGGGGTCGGAGTTCGAGTCCTGGTAGGGTCAAGAATTTTCCTTTCTCCACGTCGTCCAGACAGGTTTTGGGGTCCTCCCAACCTCCTATCCAATGGGGCTCTTTCCCTGGGAGTAAAGCGGCCATGGTGTGAAGCGTGAAGCTGACCACTCACCTCCAGCTAGTGCAGAGGTAAAAAAATGTATCTATACATCCACTTCCCCCTACGCCTTCATGGCGTATTGCTTAATTAGTTAAGATCAAGAACAACTTGTATGTATATCGAAGAAATTTCGAAGAAAAGGCGTATTTTTAGGGACCTCTTGTTTGAAACTTCGGATATTATAAAAAGTGGGGAATTTTTTGTGTAGTTCAGTGACCGTTAGCTTCTTAAAACGTCTCTTCTTTGTGTAGTTAATTATTTAAAAAGTATTTAATTTTATACATATTATTCCCTGAGAGTAAGATTTTACAATCTCTAGCAGGGCTGTTACCTTCTCCCCCTCCCGTTTTCAAGATGAAATCTTACGGCGAGCATTTTGCTTTTCTACGCACCCTTCGAGTTTTATCAAACTGAAAGGGAGGTATTTAAGTTCCGCTTACACAACTATAGTATACTCGTAAAGGGTGTAACTGGAAGATGTGGACGAACTATGGGCAAAAGTTCCATACACCAAAACAAGCAAGAATGTCCGTATCAGCGTGTGTCCGGAAACATATGATTCGTGAGGTACAGCTGAAAGAGTGCTCAAAATACTGTCCATGAGATTTAGTGCACGCCTCGACAGGTCAAGGGACGCCGCATCCGTTTAAATCTGCCGGGGTAGTGTCGGACAGTCTGATAATCATCCGCAGTGCGGAGGAGCTGCATATACAAGGGATTTTAGGTGACCCCACTGGTAAAAATCCACAGGAATAAAATCTGACGAGCGTGTAGGCTATGCAGGGGTTCCTCTGATAGAGGAGCGTCGGACATTGAGAACATCTCTCACAACACGGCTAATAGTCGCCCACTCGCTCTTACATTTACACAATTTACAGTTTCACAAACTACTGCCATCTGCAGTATCACAATTAAATCTCCTGCTGGAGTCACTGCCATTTACTCTATACAACTAAATAACAATGGACTTCAGCTCACTCCGGCGAATGCTAGACTACAACTGACTGGCTACTCCCTCTCACTGACGAATACTCCTGTTATGTAGCTTCCGCACTGACAACACAGAAAACAGTTACATGATAGCTTTCACTGTTGCGTGACATCGTGTTTACCGATTGCCTAGCAACAGTCGCTGCACGGGCCCCGATGTTGCGTGACGCCGTGTTTACAAAGGCGTTGCTGGGCAACGCTGCGTAGGAACCAGCGCGCTTCGGCTCGGCTCGGCACGGCACGGACAAACACCGTTTTCCTTACTGTCGCGTAACCTCGTTTCCACTATTGCGTAACTTGGCAACCGACCGTTTATCAAGGGTCTGTCTTCGTGGTAACTCGTTCCACCTCCCGTTGTCCATCAACGGTTAGACATGTCACAGTATATATATATATATATATGTGTGTGTGTGTGTGTGTGTATAGTTATTCTATTACGCTTTCAATATCAAGACTGTAATGTTGAGGTTAATTAATGAAATATAATTGCACCTTAGTTGTCTAATTACATGTGGGAACATTTGTCTTATTACAGGTAGCAGAGCTTCTGTTTCAACCCATCAGAGTGTTGCCACACACCATCCATGAAGAAGACTTTCCAGCCAGCACATGAAACACAAGTGACCAAACAGAACTCTGCCGTTACCAGCAATCATCGAACCGGTCGGATTGGATACACGAGTTTCCAGAGTCAAGGCAATTTCAGGTTTAGTACTACATCTCTACGAAATAAACGCGAAACAGTTGATAAGACTGCCGTAAAAAGTAATGGCTTGAAGACCGGGGGTTCGTTTCATTGTGACAGAAGTGACGGTTTGAAACCGGGTATCTCTGGTGGCGATATATCTGTAAGTGAGCAGACAGAACTATCTGATATCGCAGTTACAAACGTTTCACTCTGGAGAGGTTTATCAGATGATTCTAGTGATGGGAAACTCGCCGCTGAAAACGTAGAGACTGGAGGACTCAGACCGAAAAGTTCTCCGGTATTGCATCGTTCAGCACCTGCTGACAAAGAGAAAGCGAAGGACAGATTAGTGAAGAGCCATTCACACATCGAACAGCTGCAACAAAATTTAGCCACTAAGCTCAGTACTGCAACTGTCGCGACATTCATACACGAATACTCACCCGCCCTCTGCCGTCGGAGTCACAGGAACGTCGGGAGATCTCCGTTGATTGACAGGAAGCTAAACGGGAGAGACAGTTGCGGTAGTTCTAACGTAGCAGGTCCTTTTCCAACTAGCCGTAACCAAGACAATATTAGGAATAATCGAAAAATACGGTATCCCAAATCATCTGTTGGAAAGGGAGATAGTTTAGGGTCGATATTGATAAAGAAGAAATTTGTGTTCTTCAATGGATTCTTCGGTCGCTCTGTGATCAGGTGTAATCGTAAGCAAATTGACTCGCATAAGAAGGATGTCAGGTCCCCTGATGAAACTGAAGGGAGCAGGAATTTAGACATTAATAGTCCTGTTCAGTCGGTAGAGAACGGCTTGACACGGCTGGAAGGAAAGAAAGGTAATCAGCATTACTGTGCCGATGGTCCATCTGCTGATTATATTTCACCGAACTGCGGCAAGACGGATGTGAATTCCAATAAAGCTGTGTTCAGTGATACATTTGAAAAAGATACTGAAGCTACAGATAAAGGTCGAAATCCACCCCCATCCAACTCTCCAGGTCCTTACGGTGATAATCGTTCAGACGCCTCACAGCAGCACAATTCCAACACATTGGAACCTCCGTCTAAGCCAGCCAGAGTTTCGTGGACTACAGCATTGATTCAGAAGCTCACAGAAGAGGAGGCAAGGAAGAAAACTAAATCACAAACCAAAGCACAGAAACCCAAAAGGACAGTGAGATTCCCGCAGAAGAAACCTCCAAAAGTCGTGAACGAAGAGAAGTCGAAATTCTCGGAGGGGTTTCAAAAGCGGCGCGAATCAGCTCCTCTGTCACGACCGACGGCAGAGATTCCTACGAAGCAGTTGGATTCGGAAGGTAACTCCGTAAAAAAAGATACAAAGGAGAATCCTTCGGGTGTAATTCTTGATGACAAGAGTAAGGACGCTTACGCGAACCTGGTATCTCAGTTGTTACTCTCCAACGAAGGGGACAGCCAGCAAGTTTCGGAGTTGAAAGGAGAAGACTTTGTTCTGAAACAGAAGGAACTTGAAGAGATCAGAGCTGCCATTGCAAGAGAGGAGTGTGCCAGCGTAATTAGTGACGACGACAGCGTCATCTTAGCCCCCATAACGGCGTCAAAGGAGAGCATCGAGACAGGCCGGAGGAAGGAACCCAAGCCCTCAGGGATTAGGCGTCTCCTACCGCAGGGCCTGTTTGCACAGAAACATCGACAAGTAGACAGGACAGACGAGGGCTGTGCCCAGGAACCTCTCCTGAATCGAGCTGACACCTCTCGCGTTTACCCGGCCACGACCACGGCGCGACCAGTGTTAGAGACAGCTTTCCTGTCCGATCCGAACTCCAAGTTGCCGGTGAGGTCTGGAGTTCGTCAGCAGCAGCGGTCACAAAGTTCTTCGCCATCACCGAGACATAAACAACCATCGCCCAGAACACGCCGCCGTCAGGATCGAGACCAAACAAGTATTCAGGAGAACGAGCAGAATTCGTCTAGGATCATCCACCAGACGAGATCTAAGAGCTTGAGTCCAGCCAGAGACCGTAGTAGCTCGGCGGCAAGTCGAGCCTCCAAGAGAACGATTCCCGACACGTCTCTAGTCCTGGAGGAACGTCTCCAGCATATCCGAAGGGAACTTTCGTCTCCACCAGGCAGAGATGTAACGAGGCCCTCCTCCGCCACTCCTCCAGACTATCCCAACAGGGTGCCTCAGAGACATAACTCGTTGCCTTTGTCTTCAAACAAGACCATCCAGCAGGAGCAAATATACCAGAACACAGGCAGAGTTTACATCAGTGCACCAAGCAATGCGTACTACCATTCTCCGCCAAGCCGAAGACGGCAGCAGAATAAAGAACCTAAAAACGACCTCAAAGCAGATGATTATCGCAGGAAAGTGAGTGGTGGTAGCTCAGCTTCTTCGTCTTCTTCGACTATCGTTGCTGAATCGCCTCCAGTTTCTGCACTGTCTTGGAATCCTCTTTTACTTAACTTGGAAAGTAATGCCATTAGCGGGTCACCGGACATTCGCAAATTGCAGCAACATAGACACCCGGAGCATCCCAGTGAGGATTCTGGGCTGTATGGCGAGATACGCAACAGTGTTGACAGAGATTCTAGTGCCCTGCCTTCTCATAATATCGACACCCCGGATAATTACTCCCCCTCAAATTCCGGATTGTCAAGAAAACCTCAGGGCCTGTTACAAGTGCACCACGACTCGACTGTATTACAGCAAAGGAGTCCAACATCTGTGCCATCTGGCAGACTTTCAGCTCCTCCGGTAGCTTCGTACAGCATCGAAGATTATCCAAGACGGAGAGTCAGATCGCCAGAACCACATAGATCCCGCCAAGAATACGAATATGATCAATCCTCCAGGAGATCTTTATCTCAGCCACCGAGGCTGGGCCAGTCGGATCAGAAGTCTTCGCTACGACCTTCATTTCGACCTGTTAACCCTACTGACAAGGGGCTGGCGCGTCCAGTTGCCGCTCAACTCCAAATCAAATCTCCCCAGTCACGTCCGAGGGCAGATGACAACGTGAACAGCAGAGAAACGCAGACCGCAAGGAGTTACATTCAGCTACAGCACCAGCAGCTGGAAAGAAATCCGCGGAACAGGCCTCACGATCAGCAAAGGAAGTTGTCGCGCCAGGAAGTAGAAGCTTTGTACTGGGAGACTCAGAAACTTCGGGAAGGACTATCATCCCTGTCCCAGAATATGTCACTCCATCCCCCACAACTGGGAGTACGGTACAGCTCCACAGCATCATTGCCCCAGCAAGCGTTCTCAGCCTATCGAAGTTCCATCCGGTCAGAGCAGAACAGTCCAATGTTATACCAGCCAGAGGCAGTGCCAAGGCAGCCTTTCAGGACGCAGTCAGTTCAGAACGTCGGAGGTGGCTACGGGTCCCCCATTTTAAGACCGCAGCCTGTGTACAACATTGTCCAACAGCATCAGCCGGTGCGCCAGGCTCGAACATCACATGACACCAACCCAAGAGCTCCCAGAGCAAGGAGTGCATCTCCAGGCCCAAACAGCAACAGACACCTGTCGTCAAGAAGCCTGAGCCTGCCCAGGTCCATCCCGTCTTCCGTGATGCTAGAGAACCAGCATTACAAGGCGAGTGACAGCGTGATGAGCAATTTTGCAAGGGGCGTGCCGCACAGGAATACAATAGGGCCAATAAGGACGTCGTCTCATTTCCCGCACTCCCCTCAGATGCGTCAACAGTCCACCCCTACCATATATGAAGAAACACAACAGCAGGTAGGGGATGAGGTACGGCTGCGCCACACGGAACGTTCTAAGCATGCCACAGAAGTGGATGCAGGGAGCGGGAATAAGATCAACAAAAATGCCAACAGCAAGACGCAGAATTACGTGAACTCTGTGATGAATCGTAATCCTTCAGCAGGAAACGGAAACTGCGATAATAAATCCGGGAGTGGCAAAAGAAGTAAAAAGTCCTCGTCACAACACTTGGTATCACCACAACCGTATTATCCTCCTATATTCAAACGGGGGAGTCTTATCAGCACTTCGACGTGTTCAGTTGACGTTGTTGACAGCCCGATGTCTCCGAAGCGGGTGAGCTTCAGTAGCTACGACGAACCTCTGTACTGGCCAACCCGAAATGGACCCGCGCCAGAGCCGCCGACGAGGCAGCGTAAAGCACAGAACACAAATCCTGATCCCCTTCTGCGTTACGAAGAGTACAGTACTTACGCCAATGTTCCTCAAGCGCCGAACCGTCCGTTGCCGCCTGTACCGCACGATGCGAACGGATCCACGTACGGATCCATTTCAAGGAAAAGTCGGGATTCGAAATCGCCAACTAGCGGATTCCCTGTTTCTGCTCAGAGGTGGCAGCAGCTGTCCGAGTCGGAATCTGGCAGCGAGGCGGGGGGAGTTCAACGGATCCTCCAGCAGGGGAGCCACGGTCGCGGCACATACGTGCGTTTTCCAGATACAGGTAGGATGCTTTGCGGTTTTACTGGAAAATCGCGACAGTTGCAGATTTACAGCAGGAGTGTTGAATTGTGCAGATTCCACTGGTTCCACAATTTTGATTGCTTGTATTGTTCTTTCTTTCTTTTGAAGGGGCGATTGTAGGTTATGAACGCTTTCATGTAATCATCAGCGTTTAACGAAATTGGCGGAGAATGAGACTCACCTTTTAAATAATTTCAGGACTTCTTTTTGTGCATTTTGCATAAATCACATTTCAGTTTTATGTTTTTTTAACTGCTTAAATTTTTGTGTGGATGTAATGGTAGAAGGTTAGAAAGTTAAAACGCGTATTTATAGCAGCAAGAAGAAATATGGAAGTTCAAATTATTCCGCTTTGCGATAGACAGTCGCTGTATTGACAGGCTGGACGACCGGGTCTCGATTCTCGGCAGGGGGAAGACATTTTTCTCTTCACAGCGTACAGCCCGGCTCAGTGGCACACCCAGCCACATATCCAATGGGTACCGGGGGTAAAATGGCCACGGCGTAAAGCCGAAGTCAAGAATAGTGAAGCTATGCCTCCAATATTTCATATGTCTTCGTGGCATAGTGCTCGATTGATTAAGCACAAGATCGTTAAATTCTTTTTACGATTGCTTGACTCAGTCAAGGCGACGGGGTTAGGACCAGTTATGAATATTTCGGCCCATAATTTGCTAAGCCTGTGTGTTGGGACCCTTGCAGAATCGCCGCAATGGCGTATTGCTGTTTCCCCGAAACACGGCGTGCGTTGTGATAATCTCGTGTAGTGTTACGTTCGAGCGACGTGGCAAGTAGAGGAAGCAGACAAATGCAGCCGAGCCTAGCTTTCCGACTCATTTAGAGACACTGCGAATTGTAGATTAGGTCGACTATAAAAATTAATAATTTAACCTCGGTTATTAGATCGCATAGATCGCCTCTGTGGTCTAGTGGTCAGAGTTCCTGGCTACAGATCCTGAGGTCCCGGGTTCCATTTCCAGCGCTACCAGATTTCCTGAGTAGTGGGTCTGGAACGGGGTCCACACAGTCTCGTGAGGATAATTGAGGAGCTATTAAAAAGAAATGGCGGCTCCTGTATAGAAAACCGATATTAACGGCCGTGCGGATTCGTTGCGCTGACCACGTGACACCCTCTATCCGCTAAAGTTGGCACTAACTTCGCCGACAAGCGGCGGCCGCTCTGTCGGTATAGTTCGCTTGCGGACTACAGGCCACGGAGTTATTAGATCACATTCCACATAAAGCGGAAGCATGGGCATTTTTCGTAAAGGTGGTCAAGATTCTTGGAGGACTGTAAAGCCAAAGAGTAAGTAAGTTAGTTAGTTAGTTAGCTAGCTAGCTAGCTAGCTAAGGCCGTCCCATAGTTCAGGCCGCTGTTGCCCGGGTTCAAGCCCGGGTCAGATCATGTGGGATTTGTGGTGGATAAAGTGGCACTGAGGCAGATTTTCTCCATGTACTTCAGTTTCCCCTGCCAATTCGTATTCTACCGATTGCTCCACAATCATCGTATCATCTGAGGCTGTTAACAATAGGCCAGTATTGGCCGCAGTACCCAGTGGACTCAGTCTCACCCCACGAGAGAAAAAGGAAAAGTAAGTAGCTGTCAGACGGCATTTAGACCTTTTTCATACCGAATATCTTGCGAACAGAGAGCTTAAAATATTTAGATTCTTCGAAGTCAAGAATAAGGCCGCGCCATATCTCAAGCGGTTAGTCGCTGGCTTCCAACCGCGGCGGCCCGGGTTCGATCCCGTGTCTGGTCAAGTGGGATTTGTGGTGGACAAAGTGGCGCTGGGGCAGGTTTTCTCCGACTACTTCGGTTTCCCCTGCCAATCTTCATTCCACCAAATTCTCCATCATCATAATCACCCGGGGCAGGTACAATGGACCAATCAGTGGCCGCCGTACCGAATGGACCCAGTTGGACTCCATCCCCCACTAAGCGAATTAAGAAAGTCAAGAATAATGGAGCAGTACCTCTACTCCCACTGCTTCTTAATGACATGGCGCTTAATTAATTCAGCACAGAGACAGCCTTATCTCTCTGTCTGTTGCTCTAGAGCCATTTGTTGGACCTTGGCCGCTTTTTCAATTTCACAATATTATACACAGTCGGTAGGGCGCCTTAGATGGGAGATCAGCCCGTCGCAAGGCCGCTACCTACACACAGAACAACACAAACAGAATAAACAAACCCCATGGTTTTAGTCCGCAAGTGAACTATACCGACCGAGCCACCGCCACTTGTCGCCGAAGTTAGTGCTAACTTTAGCGGATA